GGCCTCCCAAAGTGCTGGGATTACAGGCTTGAGCCACCGCGCCCGGCCCCTATATTTTTAAATCTTCTAAAATCTTCTAATGCATATATTAGGTGCACAGAGTACTGTTATATACTCAGAATAAAATTTATGTAATGCTTTAAAGCTCATAAAATTGCTTTGACAAACATACTGTTATAGCTCTTGCAACACCTTGGGAAGTAGTTGGTTTTGTATTACTATTTTATAGCTAAGGAGACTGAGACTCACATCGTTTACTAAGATCATGTAGCTAGCTAGTAAATGTTTGAGTGAAAACGCAAAGAAAGGTTTTCTGACTTAAGAGCTTGAAATTTTTCCACTATACCAAATTGCATCTGTTGTAGTTAACAAATAATGCATTTTAAAATTTTCATTTATCTTATGTACTGACCGCTTATACCAGTGCTAATTTATGTGACTCCTCTTTCCTGTACCTAAGAGAAAAATACCTTTTTAATTCATTTATGATACCCAGTTTTTAAAGAGTTATTTTGTAAAATTTTGCTTATTGTACATAGCACCTTAGCCTGTAAGTAAAGCATTAATTTTTATCTCTTCCTGGTCTTTTTCTCTTTCTGACTTTATACATCTTTCTAGAGAGTTTATCTTCTGTAATAACAATTCTTTGTTTTAAAGTGAGAAAGATCAATCTAAAGAAAAGGAGAAGAAAGTGAAAAAAACGATTCCTTCCTGGGCTACCCTTTCTGCCAGCCAGCTAGCCAGGGCCCAGAAACAAACACCAATGGCTTCTTCCCCACGTCCCAAGATGGATGCAATCTTAACTGAGGCCATTAAGGCAAGTTTTTATTTCAAGCAATTCATCTTAGATTTATTATGTTCATTTTTTTCTTATTTGAAAATGACATACTTCTGTCTAGACATTATAAATCTTGCTCTGCTTCCTGAAGGAGTTTTAAAGAGAGGGAAGTCATTATGTGTTCATGGTTGTCTAATGTAATCACATTTGGTGAACACTTAATTTTTTTTTAAAATGTATACTTACTATTACAAATATTTTTAACTTTAGAATTTTAAAATTCAGTTTGTTAAGTATAGTTTTTATTCGAAGGCTGAAAATACTAATTCATTCAAATGTTAATTCATTCAACAATCATTTAAGGACTACCTTCCCTCTGTCGGGTACCCCTGCTAGTGGTATAGAATTAATTAAGGCTAGCAAAGACCTTGCCCTTATAAATCTAATTATGTCTCAGTAACTGGAAAATATTGAGAGTTTTTGGTTAAAAAATATCTCTAAGTTCATTTGTAAAGCTAAGTGTCTGATCTTGGTAGTGGTTTTCTTTCATACCTGAACCCTGTTACAAACTGCTTTATCACCTAGACATTCCAAAATGCTTACAAAAATTATTCTCCTTACATAGATTTATGATTTGCTGTAATCCATTGACTTTTCATCAGAAAAATTTCGCCATTTAAAGGTTATCTTCTAATCTGACATTGCCTTTATTGTATAAGTCTTTTCATTTAATTTTGCCTTGTTTCGTTCACACGATCAGATGATAAGAGGAGTTAGAACAGACCCATCTTTCAGGGACCCATTGTTAGGGTCTGAGGCAAGATTAGGAAGGCAGGGATACAGATAATTTTAACCAGAAAAAGGAAGATGTGTGTAGAAAGGAGCAGCCTCTTTGTCATTCTCAGAATGCAAGAAGATAGCACTAACACATAAACTGGAAAAGGGGTTTGCTTCCAGACCTCTTCCGCTACTCCTTCAAGACTTCTTATGCTCTCACCTCATTAAGAAAACTTCATTGGTCTAGATCACCTGACTGTAGTGAAATCTCTGGTTTGTATAGCCTCTCTTCAAGGATTTTGTTTGGTGATCACTCAGCCTGGGTTTGAAGGAGCAGCATCATAGTGAGAATGTAAAAGGTACTAAAACTTTAAAATAGTGAAACAAAATATTAAAACAATATCAATTTGGCTTAAAGAATGGTTTGAATATGATTGTGCATATTTATATAGATGATGGATATATATGGATAATGTGTATTCCGTGGAGTATGTCAAATTATTGTTTCAGACCACAGATTCCATTTTCTATATCAAACAGGAATCATGGTGTCTACTTCCATCTCATTGTCAGATTGGTGGAGCAAAAGATTATTTGTTTGAGCATTAGTGTTCTTTTCTGCTTGGTTTTCTTTGCTTTGTGTTTTCTTATAAGATGAAGAGTAAAACTCAATAGGTCATTAATAATAGTAGAGACGTAGACTTGAATTATATGACCCATATTAATACAACTTGTTTTGTGTTGTACAATCTATTCTGGACTGTTACTAAAAATAACCTGTGAGTTATTTTTTTGTTGTTGTCAAAATGTATAAAAACATGAACAAAATTCTTACCCAGTGAGAATAAGTGCTACATTCATTTAATAGACAACATGGCAGTACAGAATTGATGGACTGGCCCATTAAATGACAGATGCTACTTCTATGTGCTTCAAAATTTAAAGTGTTTGATTTGATGACAATGACCAGTTGGAAAACAAAATTTTAAGCATTTGAAAAATATTAAATATTTACTGCCTTTGTGACATAATGAGCTACTTAATTCTTCGAGTTGCATTAGTCAAATGGAGTGTACGTAAAATAGGATGGAAATGGAAGAGGGCACATTAAATTCAAATAGAATACCTTCACTATTACCCAAAACTCTCCTTCAGGACTTTGCCATCTGTAAACCCCTTTTTATGCCATTTGTTCATATCATCTTGATTCTTCTCTCTGCTGACATTCATATAAAGTCTTCAGGGAAATATTGATCCTGGCATGCTCATTTCTTAAGCTTATACCTTAAAATGGACCAGATCTGTGATCCTGTAATTGATAGGTTTGTTCTGCTTCTCTCATTTTGATGCCAAAGATCTGTCTTCTAAATATAGAATGGAATTAAAATGGAAAAAGGTTCTTTGTTATATATAGAATGTCGTTCATGTTTAGTGTGGTCTTTCAGGCTGTTTTGAACAATTTAAATTTGTAGCAGAAATATTTAGTAATTCTGTTATATCTCCGTAGCCATTATAAACTGAAGTCTTCTGAAGTTCATTCTTCCCTACCATTTCTGTCATCCATTATTAAGTTCACTTCCAAAATAATTTATTTTGAAAATATATGTCAGACTCTGTATCTAATAAAAAACAACGGGTTTAATGCATATGGTTTGATAAATCTTTTCTAGGCTTGCTTCCAGAAGAGTGGTGCATCAGTAGTTGCTATTCGAAAATACATCATCCATAAGTATCCTTCTCTGGAGCTGGAGAGAAGGGGTTATCTCCTTAAACAAGCACTGAAAAGAGAATTAAATAGAGGAGTCATCAAACAGGTATTACACAGTTGTTAGTAATAAGATCATTTCATTGTGTATTGGCTTTAAGTCTGTAGTTAGTAACATTTAGGCTTTTTGTGTCTTTTTTGTTAAAAATAGGTTATATGATGATGAAATTGCTTAAGTTTAACCTCTTTGAATTATCTGAGGCTAGGTTTTGAAAACGTTGGTGCCATTAAGATAGTGTAAGTTTTTTCTTGCTTGCTTTGCTCTTAATTGAATTTTCCTTTGGGGACTGCTTGTGCTTGAAATCATGTAGTGCTGAACATGAAAAGAGGTAAGGAATCCTACTACTGAAACAGCAGAAATGGGGCTAAGCATGGTGGCCTACGCCTGTAGTCCCAGCACTTCTGGAGGCTGAGTTGGGAGGATCACTTGAGCCCAGGAGTTTGAGAGCAGCCTGGGCAAAACATAGCAAAACCCCTTCTCTACAAAAAATACAAAATTAGCAGGGTGTGGTGGCATGTGCCAGTCCGCCCTATGTATAGTCCCAGCTACTTGGGAGGCAGAGGCAGGAGGACTGCTTGAGCCTGGGGAGCTCAAGACTCTAGTAAACTATGATCTCACCATTCTAGCCTTAGTAAAAGTGAGACCTTGTCTGACTTTTAAAAAAGAAATAGCGAAAATGATAATTGTCCTTGTCTTAGGTTTGTTTCCTTCAAAGTCTAACTTATATGGCAGATTTCTTACTATTGATTTTTAGCTTCGCAAATATGCTTACCTTAGCTGATTAGTATCTAAACTATTAAAGCCTGTTGGGAGTATCAGAGAAGCCTGAATGAAATGTGACTAGTACTGGAACCAATGTTGATTTCAGGCATAAATCCACTTTACCTTGCATAGTGCATGGAGGTTTAGAACCATAGAAATCTTAAGCTAGAATAAACTTTATCTTATGTTAAACTCTTCAGAGGTCCAGAGTGATGAAATAACTACTAATATATCATGGTAGTAGCAAAGATTTTAAAAACCTAGTTCACTACATTCCTAGAGTCTTGTTGCCTTTTTTCTATGCCTCCCTGCCTTTTTGATCAGTATAGAATTATTTGCCACTCAGGCATTTAAACTCTGCTTAGGGACTTTCAACTAGTATTAATTCCACAAATATTCCTTGTCTCCTATGTGCCAGGTACCTGGAGGTCTGTCAGTGAATAAAACATATTCCTGCTGTGTGGAGCTTAGAGTCTAGCTTTCTCAAAATGTAAAACTGATATTTAAACAGCCTTTAAAATTATCACTGATAGCCTGGTGCAGTGGCTCATGCCTGTAATCCCAGTACCTTGGGAAGCTGAAGTGGAAGGGTTGCTTCAGGCCAGGAGTTTGAGACCAGCCTTGGCAACACGGCGAGGTGAGACACTGTCTTTACAAAAAAAATTACTTCTTTATTGTAATTTATTTTACTTTTTGAGGCAGGATCTCACTCTGGCCGAGGCTGGGGTGCAGAGGTGCAATCTTTGCTCACTGCAACCTCTACCCACTGGGCTCCAGTGGTCCTTCCACCTGGGCTTCCTGAGTATGTGGGACTAGGTGTGCACCACCACACCCAGTTAATTTTTGTATTTTTTGTAGAGACAAGGTTTTGCCATGTTGCCCAGGCTGGTCTCCAGCTCCTGGACCCAAGTGATTCACCTGCCTCAGCCTCCCAAAGTGCTGAGATTACAGATGTGAGCCACCACTTCCAGCCTTTACAAAAAATTTAAAAATTAGCCAAATGTAGGGGTGCATGCTTGTAGTCCCAACTCAGGAGGCTGAGGCAGGAGGATCGCTTGAGTTGAGGCTGCATTGAGCTATGATTGTGCCACTGTACTCCACCATGTATGACAGAGTAAGACCCTGTCTCTAAAATAAAACAAAATAATCATTGATTAAAAAGGTCTTACCTGGTTAATATAATTATTAGAGCCAAGGACTTACCCTGTAACACAGTATATGTCAGCATAGCTTATGCGATGGCCTCATGTCTTAGTTTATGACCTGTTCTAGCCTACATAGCCTGACCACCCTCAGTTTGATGCTTAAACAACTCTTAATAGCCTCAGAGCATTCCAGCTTGATTCCTACATTGATAGCAGTGTAGGTAAAATTAAGCTGTGGAGTACTTTGGCTATTGTGAATCAACTTTTTTTTTTGGAGATGAAGTCTCGCTCTGTTACCCAGGCTGGAGTGCAGTGGCATGATATCATCTCACTGTACTGTCTGCCTCCCGTGTTCAAACAGTTCTCCCGCCTTAGCCTCCTGAGTAGCTGGGGTTACAGGCACCTGCCACCTCGCCTGGCTAATTTTTTATATTTTTAGTGGAGACAGGGTTGCACATGTTGGTCAGGCTGGTCTCAAACTCTTGACCTCAAGTCATTTGCCCACCTTCACCATCCCAAGTGCTGGGATTACAGGAATGAACCACCGCTGGCCTATTGTGAATCAGCTTTAAAACTTTATGAAAGTACTTTGTGAACTGGAAATATATGGCAAAACTTACATACCATTTTGTGCAGTGTCTAGAAAATTGTTAGCTAACCTTTCCCATAAGGAATAATGTGTCACTGGTAAACTGGGGGAAGTTATGTGGCCTGAGACTAATTAGGCTCTGAACTTTTTCCAAGGAGCTTTTAAGACAGTGAGGACTTTTCTTATTTTTCTAAGAGATTGTGTCCCTTCCTTCTGTGTGACATTTTTGCATTTTTTATTTTGTTGTGAAAGTTTTTTTTTTTTT